ATACTTATTTCAATATATAATATATTAATATATATTATTATACATGTTAGGCAATCAGTATTATTACAGTAAAAGCTGTGTAAAGTACTGTTTATAAGGTCTCATGCAAGAGCTCTGATGTCTGACGATGCTAAAATGACAAGCAACATAAGACTTAGAGGTGGAAATGTCAAACCAACTTATCTCCAGGCTGCTCAGCAGTCAGGGCCATAGTTTACCCTTGGAGCAGTTTATTCTGCTCTTCAAACTAACTGCAAGCACTTTCCTGAAGCCCTTCCTCTCCAAAAATCCATCTATTTTCCATGGTGAGGAGAGTTCCGTTCCACTGTGTCTAAATGGATTAATCACTGAAGAACAAGAGCAAGACGCCACACTAAAGGACATCCCAGAGTATCTGATGCTTTGTGGCCAACAACAAAGACAGAGGAGAAGATAGACCTCTGAACACTATAAATCATTTATATTTTCAATTTTCCGCCTTGTCTGACGTGGGACCTCTGGTCTATGGAGTCTGTAATAATTGCCATGGCAGGGTGTACCAGAGCAGCCATACCTTTGCTCAAATGGCAGGCACTGCCATTTATCACAGTCGCGAGCAAACATCTCTGTCTCGCTCTCAAACACAAAACAATATCAGCTCAACCGCAGACCCTCAAGTGCATGAGGATAAGTAAGGTAAGAAATAAAAAGAGAGACAGTGCAATGTAAGAACAGAGATTAAGGGAAAAGTGACAGAGTTAAATAGCATTTAATGGAAGCTAGTTTATTACTGTCACATCAACACATCTAACCACACAGCACTAACTCTAGACCTATTTGACAACACAATGATAACTTAGGGTTGTCATTACAAGGTGGCTAGATAGATAGATAGATAGATAGATAGATAGATCATTAAAATGTAGTTTTTTAAATATTTTATAAACTACAAACTGTAATTTTGATATAGTAATATATGACAAAATATTACCTGCAACTACATATTTTTACTGAATCTTGAAAGGTCAGAACAGTACTTCTGTCACTTTCAGTATTACATACGGTGCTTTTGCCCTCTAGTGGACAGTATTATAAAAACTATTTCTCTGTCCTTTTGAAACTTCATTCCATGCTATGCTAACCACATTTATGTGTATGGATACAAGCAAGCATGTATCTAAAAGACAGGATGTTTGCCTTCTCAGTCATTTAAGCGCCTCAAATCCCTTCTAAAGGGCAACAGATTAAACTAGCAAAAATAGCTTGATGACTGGATCTACACTTCCTCTCAAGCCTCTCTCATTGTTCTGTGCTATAAAGATTGTGCGCTGATTGTGATTACTTGATCACTGGGTGCAATATTACTGCAAATGACACAGCTGTTGATATGTACTGACATTGGGGAAGAAAACAAATATAATGGAGACTGAATCACCACACCTTAAAGTAACAACAACACTGGTTTAAATCACATGTAAAAACACCCAGTTACACATTACATACACAAATACTCAAACTGTAACATTGAATACTTTGCTTGCATCTTTCATTAGAAACAAAAGAGGGTAGTAAATGCTGAGTTACTCAGACACTAAAAAGAAAGAAAGAAAGAAAGAAATTACCTCCGTTATCCAGCCAATAGTTAAAAGAGTTGCTGCAGACTCGGGTTAGTTCTTCTACACACTGATGCTGGCAGTTTACTGAAGGCTTAAAATCAGCTCAATGGCAGCTCAGTCCT